GACTAGGGATAGGGCGCCCTTAAAGTGATATCGTTTTTTTTATAAGTATGCCAATTATTATTAAATAGTTTTACCAATACTACAAGAAATTTAATTTTTAAAATTTCTTTTACTTTTTAGAAAAAATAACGGTTTAAAAGTAAAGTGTGCAGTTTTACGACGAGTTAGGCTATGATTTCATGTGTAATTTTTGACAATTACAAAGACATTACTACGTACTATTCATGGTGCAGTTGTTATTATTTTCATGCGTTACCCCAGATTTAAAAAAAAACCGATAAAATTGGTTCACAATTACCGGAGATATCGCAAAATTTTCGGGCAGTTAAGATTATTTCCCCCACCACATTCCAGCTATCAAAATGTATTCGGGGACGTTTTTTAAAGGGTTAAAAATTACGAAAAACTGCATTTTTATCGATATCTTTAACCGTTATTATGAATTTTAAGGGTTGATTGATTTATTCCCGAAATTACAAGTCTTAATGTTTATAAATAAACAAGTTATGAATTAAAAAAAAACGCTATATCGGCTAAAAATGGTCCTAATACAATTTTTTTTTAATTAGTGAAAAATTACCGGGATTACGAATATCAAAGCGGCTTTAAAAAATATTCATTATTCGCAAAGTTATTAACGAAGAACCTTATAAACAAATTACACTATTTGTTTATACGCCGTTTTGAGGAGATCAGCCTATGAAATTACAATTTCCAATTGCATATCTTGAAAATATAAGTCAAGATGAAACAAATGCCCTTTATTATAACGCTAACAACCGCGTTTTTTGCAATTAAAAAAATGCTATTTCTAACAAACAAATGCAAAAACTCGTAATCAAATAAATATTTTTTACCAAATTTTACTGCAGTTTAGAGACGATTTATGCTCTTTTCTTCTATTTACAGCAAATTCAAATTTCTCTGTTTTTTTGCAATTATTTAAAGAAATTGTTAATGGATTTTAATTTATCAGGTCTCAAATGAAGCGTTTTTCGAAAACCTATAAGTATAAACAAAAGCAAAAACTCCTGTTGGAAAGCCCATTTTAATACAGTTAAAAAACTTAATTTTTTGTAATTTTTACATTATAATCAGTGTTTAAACAATGATCTTGTTGTTTTAAACAATTTAAACCGATACTTTTTGGGAAATATTATTTCTTTTTGCCTAAACTAACGATTAAACCAAGTTTCAATCTGAAACGAATTGCCTTTTGATTTACATGTATTACGAATTTCATTTACTGGGCTATTATTTAATAATAACAATAATAACATATATTTCCTCGAGTCAACATTTGAATAGGAATAGTCAAAAGAAAAGACAAAACTAATTTACAACTAAAGATTAACTAACAGAAAGTTGATTCACAAAATATTCTTTCACAGAATTGAAACATTTATCAATCAAGTATTTTTTCATAGCCTTTTTGAAGCTATAAACAGAGGTGCCAATTTTAATATCATTAGGTAATCTATTAAACATTCGTATACCAAAACAGTTAGGTGAGTTAAAAGACAGATTACACCTACCAAAAGGTATACTAAAATGCCGTGTATCAATTGAATGAATCTGATTTTTGTTGACAAAAATATATAGACACATTTCATACAACAAAACAGAAGGCATTGTTAAAATATTGTAACAGACGAATATCCGTCTACAGGATTCCCTAGCTGACATTCCGAACATACACCTAATTACACGTTTTTAAGCAACAAATACATTATCAGATACCATATCGCAAACGCGATTCTACCTAGCGGTAATATAGTTTCAATAATTGATCAATGAACTTTTCTGATATTTCGAAATTGATATGATACTGAATCCAGGGTTAATCCTAAAAATTTTACAAGATTTGTGTTATTAATTAGTGTATTGTTAACATTAACATCAATACTATTACAGAGCTTTTGTCTACTGTGAAATATTATAACCTGACTTTTATTGATATTTAATAGTAATGAATTTTGACTAAACCAGTCCTGGATATCACTCTACCGCAAGTCTTAGATAATTTTGTATCCGATTTGTCCGAGTACACCACTGACGTATCATCGGCATAAAAAGTGAAAGACGCCGATCCTGAGAGCTCGTCTAAGTCATTAATGTATAAAATAAACAGGACAGGGCCCAGCACCGATCCCTGGGGTACCCCTGTATTGACTTTTTTAATTTCGGAAGTTACATTATCTATAGCAACATATTGATCTCGATCTCGAATAAAAGTTGTCACCCATTTCTGGTAAATGCCACGAATCCCATATTTCTCCAACTTGTCAACCAAGATGTCGTGATTTACGCAGTCAAACGCCCTACTGATGTCACAAATGATCCCAACAGGGCATTCTCTTAGTGGTTGACTTACTGCTTACGAAACCGTGTTGATTACTGGATATGATATTGTTCTTTCCAATAAATGAATATAGTCTATGTAGAAAGGCAAGGAAATTTAATACGGTAAGTATAGTATGCCGCTTCACCCCCCAACGAAGCACCCAATCCTCTTTAAGTTGTTGGAATTCATTCTTTTATCGTTTTCATTTACATAATTTAAGTTAAGTTACTCCGTCATACTACATTATGAGTCAGACTGAACAACCTACAGTATGAAACGAAAAGGCCTTATTCTAAATAATTTTCTTGACACTTAACTTGCCAAACCCTTTATTGTGATGGTATAAATGATTTCCATCCTTGTAAAGAGCGGTTTTCAAAATGTGTATGCGGATGGATGGATTTTAATATTATCTTATCGAAAATATACAGTACACGAATAAAGTATGAAATAAATTCAGTAAAAACGAAACAATTTTTTTTTGGAAAAAATCCTCGAACAGGTCCATTTTTAATTTATTTTTATCATTTGTTTTCGAGTAATGACGTCATCGACATTTTTTTAAATAGCAACCCTCTATTTTTTTTCTTGATTCTGAAAGATCGTTTCATTGTCGATCCGACAGTATTAAAATGTTGCTTGCCATCTTACATGGGAAAGTTTTAGAGTAAATGACGATTGAATGATAGAAATCGTAAATTTTATTCATTAAAAAAATAACAATTTCTATGTCAAGCAAATACAACTCATTAAGTTTTCTACCTAAATAAAGTGTTCGAATTGCCACCCACCGACTTCTTGACAATACGCAAGTATGTGTAGAAATTGTTCTTGCACATTATGAATTATTTATGGGGCAACTCTGTGTATTTCATCTATAACACAATTTTGGAGTTCTTCTAAATTATGTGATTTATTAACGTACACTTTGGACTTTAAGTAGCCCCATAAGAAATAATCCAAGGGCGTAAGATCTGGGGATCTCGCGGGCCATTCTATCGGTCCTCGTCTGCCGATCCACCTCCTAGGAAAACAATTGTCTACAAAATCTCGAACAGGACGCGCATAGTCCAGAGGTGCACCGTCTTGCTGAAACCATATGGTGTCATCAGGAATATCACGGTCATTATCGTTAGGAAAAATTGCTGCAAGCGCTGGAACAAGGTCATTTTGTAAAAACTCTAAATATCTTTCTCCTGTAAGGGTTCCTTCAAAGAAGAAAGACCCTACTATTCCGTTGTCAACTATTCCAGCCCACACATTTAATTTCCGCGGGTGTTGGGTATGTGTCTCTGCCATCCAATGAGGATTTTCCCGACTCCAATACCTGCAAGTTTGACGGTTCACTATACCATTGAGACAAAACGAGGCCTCGTCTGAAAAAAGTATTTGCCGGTGTAAATCTCTATTTACTTGACATAAATCCATCATAATTTCATAAAAGTGTAAGCGGAGGTCGGGATCGTCTTCATTGAGTTCCTGCACAAGTTGAATTTTGTAGGGATGATATTTTTCCTTCCTCACGGTACGTAGCACTGTGGTCTGACTAATTTCATTGTTTAATGCAACCAATCGTGAAGTATTATGAGGATTATCTACCATACTTATCAAAATGTTCTGTTTGTGATCTTCACTAACGGTTGGACGTCCAGATTTTGGAATATCTAAAACATTGCCAGTTTCTCTAAATTTAGTTTTAGATATCTTACTGACTATTGATTGGCTGATACGGCGATTTGGATGTTTTTCATTAAATAAATCGCAAACTTCCTGCTGCGTTCTAGTCTTATCCCCGCATCCGATAAGAATTAAAATTTCAATTCTTTTTACATCGCTTACAATACTTAGAAAATCGGTATGACAGTGACACTTTGTAAAGATTTACACCTACGGGATCCATAAAAAACTTCAGGCATTTCGAAGAACTAAATTTGAAAACTATTTTTGGTTATTTTTAATTGATTTGGGTTTTTGATTTAGGTTTTCTAACATTAAATCGTCATTTACTCGAAAACTTTCCTATGTAAGATGGCAACATTTTAATACTGTCGGATCGACAATGAAACGATCTTTCAGAATTAAGAAAAAAAAATAAGGGGTTGCTATTTAAAAAAAATGTCGATGACGTCACTACTCGAAAACAAATGAAGGTTGAAAATAGCCTTTTATGCTAAAATATGTATATTTTAAATTAAAAATCGACCTATTAGAGGATTTTCCCCAAAAAAAATTTGTTTCGGTTTTACTGAAATTATTCCATACTTTAGGCGCGTGCTGTATACAGGGTGATTTTTAAGTTGAGTAAATCCTTCTACCGCCAAATAAAGCTAAGAAAAATAAATATTATTTTCCTTTACCACTTTTTCGAAATATCAATATTAGCGAAAGTACAGGGGGTTAAAGTTTTGTTTAAAAATTTTAAAAATGATTTTTTTTTCTACGAAACCGCTTGTGATATGTTAATGAAATTTTACAGGCGTTGATAACTCCAAATGTCGCATATTATTCGATAAGCAGAATATTTCTAAATCTATCAGTGGCGCACGTACCAACAGAAAATATTTATTTTTAGTTTGCTTTATTTGGCGGTAGACGGATTTACCCAACTTAAAAATCACCCTGTACATATGTAATATGAAAATTGTGTTTCACATTTCTTGATGTTTCAGGTTCTCAATTCATGCCGATAACCACAAGTTACGATTACGATTCCATTTTGACGGAGGCAGGCGACTACACTGACAAATATACCGGAGTTAAAAAACTGATGGAACAGTACAACACCATCCCAACCAGTACACCAGCCGTTCCGAACTTACAACCCAAAGTTGCTTACTCGGCCATAACTGTACAAAAGCGGTTGTCCTTTAACGACATCGTAGATAAGAACGCTCCTTACGTGATAAACAGCCCGAACGTGGTGGCCATGGAGCTGCTGGATATCAACAATGGCTCAGGACAAAGCGTTGGTTATATCGCCTACAGAAAGGAGAATGTGGACTTGGCAGCCGAAACAGTTTTGATGATCGAGGGACGCATTTGTGATACTGCTGTTGTTTTAGTAAATGGGGTTTTAGTGTCGCCAGTCTTGAAGTCGATCAGTGATATCGACAGATTCGGATACTGGAGAATGAGGAATTCAACGCTAGTGTTGAATTCTGATCCCATAACCAACGCTACCATAGATGTAGTGGTCGAGGAATGGGGTAGAATGAATTGGGGAAACTTAGATCAGTACCATCAGTCTTTCAAGGGATTATGGCAGGGTGAGTGTTACAGAAAATATGTCCTAAGTACCAAAACAACATTTTTCCCAAAGAAACCTTTAATTACACAGCCCCACAAAAAATTTGCTCACACTGTATAAATTAATGTACAAGAGGCATTGACGAACACATTGGTTTAAAGCAGGGATGCACAGACTTATAGGGAACAGGGGCCACTGGGGAAAAATATAAGCCAACCAAGGACGGGCCACTACAAACAATATTTATGAACACAAAATTTTTTATTTTTAAATAGTATGAAATACAATGATAAAAATAAAATAACCTTCAAAAATGTTTGTTGTAATAATTATGTAATCATTACAATGTAATATTTCATGTTTTATTATTTTGCTGCATGACATTGCATTGAACTAACAAGTTTTTTTATATTTGGCTCCACATTACTTGTAGCCACACGTATAATTGCTTCCAAATTTTCATTTGCCAGACGGTTTCGGTTTTTCGTTTTGTTAAGTTTCATCACTGAAAACGTTTGTTCACAAATATACGTCGATCCAAATAAGCTTGCGCATTTCAATGCATTTATTCGCAACTCTTTATAAGCGTTTTTATCAACGCAACGGTAGAAGTTGAGTAAATTACCTTCATTAAATTTGTTTCTTAAATTATCATCATTTTGCATGTCTATTAATTCCAGCTGCATTAATTCCGGCGCATTTTCGGGTGAAATGTTGAAAGGATTGCTGAAAATGTCCAATAGCGGTTTAACTTTTTTGAAGTCTACAAAACGATTTTCAAAAGCTTGTATCAAAATATCAATTTTTTCAACATGAGCGAAATTGACGTCAGTTTTATTGAACTTCTCCATAATTTTTTTGTAGTTCGGAAAATGGCCGTAATTGGCTGAATTGATTTGTGTCCTGAAAAGACTCAATTTGCATTGAAAGGACGAAACATGAGAGTATAGCTGCGAAATCAATTGATCTTTGCCTTGGAGTCGCGTATTTAAGACATTCAAGTGATTTGTGATGTCTACAAGAAACGCTAAGTCACACAGCCAATCAGGGTTGTCGAGTTCGGGGACGTCGTTTTTCTTTTCCGCCAGAAATAGTTGGATTTCTTCAATCAAGTTAAGAAATCGCTGTAGTGTCAACCCACGACTTAGCCACCTTACTTCAGTGTAAAACAGGAGATCACCATATTCGCTTTCAATATCCTCGAGAAATTGTTTGAATTGTCGGTGATTGAGACCTCGTGATTTTATAAAGTTTACGGTAGGTACTACAACTTTCATAACATTTTCAAATCCCAATAATTTTGAACAGAGGGCCTCTTGATGTATAATACAATGAAACTGCATTAATTCCTTGGTATTTATGTTTTTAGTTTGTAAATATGTTTTTAACAGAGTTACTATCCCAGATGTACTTCCAACCATTGAAGGTGCTCCGTCAGTTGTAATTCCAGATATTTTCGTTAAATCCAAATCCATTATAGAACATTTTTCTAGAAGAGCTTTGAGCATGTCACTTCCCCTGGTTTGACTTGTCAAAGAACTCATACCAATCAGTTCTTCACTCACTTCAAAATTTTGCGTTACACCTCGTAAAAATATTAATAGTTGAGCAGTTGAACTTATATCTGTAGATTCGTCGAGCGCTATAGAAAAATACTCAAAACTTCTCGATTTCGTAGCTAATTGCTCTTCTATATTATCTGCTAATGCGGTAATTCTTCTTTGAACAGTCATCCGATTTAACTGAATTTTTTCAAACTTCTTTACATTTTCCGGACAAATTTTTTTTGCGGCGATATCCAAACATTGCTTAACAAACTCACCATCTTTAAAAGGCCGACAAGTTTTCGCTATTATTCGAGATATTTCAAAGCTAACTTCAGTGGCTGTTTCAGCATCTTGAATTGGTTTTGTAAACATAGATTGCTGGCCTATTAGTTCCCGTTGTAAAGTGGAAATTCTTTGCGTTCGATTTTCGCCAGTTAATTTGGTAAAAGTTGGATGCTGGGTTTCATAGTGCCTTTTCACATTATATTCCTTCGGAATAGAAACACTACTCTTGCATATTAAACAGACAATTTTGTTATGCGATGAAATAAAAAAGTATTTTTCGGTCCAAATATCATGAAACTGTCGATTTTCATCTTCAACCTTACGACTACGTTTCTTACTGGGGCCTGGTTTATCCATATCAAAATTAATATTATATGTTACAGTCGGTAAAAGCCAAGTTCGAACGACGAAATATTTACTTGTCACAGATTACAGTTCTCAAACAGTATAACGTTCGCTTATCCGTAGTCAAAACTTAACTGCCCCGGTAGCCGACGATGCTTCGTATTTATACGAGTTACCAAACATGGAGAACCATCCACTTTGTTCGGGGATCGACGTGTTTCGCGAATCTGTAATCTAGTTGTGCGACAGATTTCTAGTCTCGTAATAATATGTTTGGACCGGAGCGTGGCGAGTAGAATACTTTTAAAATTCGTTGGCGGGTCGCATAAACATCGACAGCGGGCCGCGGTATGTGCATCCCTGGTTTAAAGCTTACTTAATTAGGCTTATTGATACTATAATTTTTTCTTGTCAAAACAATTAACCGAGAGTCACCGGCTCAGACTTAAAGCTTTCTTTCTTTAATCTTGAGCGTTTGGAGTTTAGAATTTGAGAGCATTTAGTAGAACTAATGAGGCTAAACAGACCCCAGATTCGGATTCCAAGACGCCAATAACTTATAGATATATTGATCTACTTTGTTGCCAATAGCTCTACATCTTCAACTGAACAGACCTGATCGAGTCAAATAGATACCGAATTCGGATTCATCGGTCCCAAAAACATATGGAGTCATGATCTTGTGTTTCAGGCCACTTAAAAAATTAAGGGGATTTATGACCCTTCAAAAGGAGAAAGAACAATTTAGTTTTTATTTTATTACTATTATTATTACTTACAGTTTTTCTTCTACAGAAAAGTAATTTACTGGCAAAAGATATAACTTCTTTTCTACCAACAATAATGGTCATTTAAAAATCTTTTTGATGGTTTGTCAAATAGTTGACAGTTCAAGGCTGATTTAGATTACTGAATGTCAAAATTCGACACAATAGGAAATAATCCAGTCCAATTAGAATAATAAGCCCTTGAAACTTTGTTATTATTTTTCAGTAGTAAAAGCTTATATATTTACTTTCATTAACTTACTTTTCAGAAAAAATGGATCACAAAACAACAATATCAAAATAAAATTTAAACATTTTCTGTCCTATCTAAAATTATTGTCTCTCTCGCTGTGATGTCAACTCGTATACATGCGCAGTCACAGATTACCAACAGATGACCAAGTGAACGTGTAATTGTAGTTCAAGAGACAGAGCTATATCATTTTACTCTCTCGCTCTTAATGTAAAAGCTACGTAGATGGCGCGGTATGCCACATAGCGGGAATTTTGAAATATTCTTTAAATCCTTATTAGTTATTACCAGTATACAAGATTTTCTGCAAAATTTTATATAAAGTATCAGGTTGGAAATATCTCAATCTACACTTTATACAAAAATTTGCAGAAAATCTTGTGCAGTAACATGTAAGCATGTATACAAGAGAAAAATCAGAAGGCTCGAAAAAGCAAGACAAAATTCACGTTTTTTCTCGTTACGTAAACGATTTAAAATACGTACTAAAAACGGTAAACGGTAAAAGTAATATGTGGTAATACTATTACGTTAACTTTGGCGATGTAGTAACAATAAAGGTATGTCCGACCAATCTCAGTGGAGTCGGGGGTGGGTTATAAAGATATAAATATAAAAACAACAATTTATATATAGTGATAAGGGCGCCAAGTGATTTTCATAACCATACCTTTAAACATAATAAAATCACTAAACTGTATAGCCAAAGATTTTAACGGGAAAACAAATATATATATATAGGGGTATCAAAATAAATTAATAAAAGTCTGAGTGTATTTGAACTATTGAGGTATATTAAAAAAAATAATGTATATATGTATATGAAGATGTATAGGGGACGGCAGTTAAAACAGACAAAGTATATAACAAGATCAAACGTAGGAATGTGTATACTATCTAAGAATATTAATCGAGAGCTCTCAAACAAACGAGCAATGGATAAAGGATTTATCAAAACTATCCAACTAATGCAGGCCTTTATCTCTTTGCTATTATTAAATGTCTTACACTAACATGCTAAATTTTAATTACACTAAAACAAATACATGAAACCTCTGTTCAATAATTACAAAAGAAAATTCCGAATTACCGATCACATGACTAAATTATTAATTTACTATTTAATGACAACTATCAACATGACAAAAAAAACCCAATAAGTAAGAAAGGGGTAGATGATCCCCAAAACAATT